ACACGCATACACGCACACCTACACGCACACACATACACACACACGCACACACACACACACACACTCACACACACACATACACACACACACACACACACACACACAATTTCATTAATCTTTGGATTCCAACTGTTCGACAAAAACAAGTGTACATTCCGAATAAACCTTGACGTTAAACACTAAAGGGTAATTGAAAAACTAGTAAGATACTAGAAGGGGAGGAGGAGGTCGCAGGTGCTCTTGTGTGTTTGCTCCATCTTTCCTATCAATGAATATCTGCCGCCCTTATCTTTCCTTTTTTGTATTTGCTACTCTCTACTAATCTTCGGCACTTACTAGACCCACATGTGTTGCAAGTGCCATAAAACTCTTACTAAAACAGAAAAACTCATTAAGATGCTCTGTAGTGGAAAGTGAAAACAAACGTTAGGAAGAGAGGCTGGCAGAGATCAGAAACTCTCACCAAACATACGTTATGTAGCTGCTGTCGTCATGCATGTCGTATACTATTGATTTTCACGAGCGTAGCGCCATCATGATGATGTCTTTCAACATTTGAATTGGATGCGTCTCCAGCTGGTGTGCATTCGTCTTATCCATTTCTTTCTTCAAAAGAAAATAAACCAACAACTCAGCAGGTGGCGTTGGTAGCCTCGACCGGGCCCGTAGTCGTGAGATTGCGAGTTCGGGGGTTCGATCGTGATCTCGGTCCGACGCTGGACGTTCAATCTGTACCATTTCACCATTTTTCAACGACGCAGTTTGGATTGCAAAACAACAGTCAGTTTGCTCACATGGCTCTCCCATGCAAACTGGATTTATAGAATATTGATTTGATCACGATTATTCGATACATGGCATCATTATATTTCTGTGGATTTCAGTAAAAAGTTTATTTATATGATTGATTGCACCTCTCTGAACAGGCAATAAAACCACTCGTTCTATATCTACAATGGATATTCATGCGTATTCATGAGTATAAATAAAGAATAATTACTATTGGCAGAGGAAGGGAGATGAGAGACATAGTGAGAGAGAGGGAGAGAGAGAGGGGGGGGAGGAGTAACTGGGGAGATATTGAAATGACCGGCACAGCTGTTGCCTAAATGAAGGCGCTGTCTAGACGTCCCATGAAATCTAGGGCAAGGTTACTG